TTTGATGCATCTGTTGTCAAAATAACTGGATGATCTTCATCAGGATAATCCAAAAATAAAGGAGAGGTTACCAACAATTGTTTCAATTGTAAAAATGCTTCTTTTTGTGGGTCTCCCCAACTAAATTTGTTTCTGTTTGCTTTCGTTAAATTTGTTACTTTGTGTATAGGTGCAGCTATAGCTGCGAATCGAGGAATAAATTTACGGTACCATGAAATGACACCCAGGAACTTATTTGCTTCCGCTAAGGTGGAAGGTTCCCTTAATTTAATTATTGCTTGGATTTTTTCATGATTAGGTTTAACACCTTGTTCCGATACTGTATGTGATAAATAATGAATTTGTTGATGAAAAATACTGCACTTGGAGGGGTTAAGTTGAAAATTGTGTTGTGATAAAATTGACAGCACTTGATGAATGTGTTTAAGATGTTCTTCGAATGATCGAGAGTAAACCACAATATCATCAATATAAACTAATGCAAATTGACGACATGGAGATAATATATCGGCCATAACACGTTGAAATGATGGTGGACTGTTCATTAAACCTTGTGCCAAGACATTCCATTCATAAAGTCCTTCAGGTGTAATAAATGCAGTCTTGTGTCGATCTTCTTCTTCAATTGGAATCTGCCAAAACCCACTTTTCATGTCGAGTTTTGAAAAGAATTTATAACCACCACCTAATGTTTGAATTGCTTGTTCCATTTTGGGTAATGGATGACTATCTTTAATTGTGATGTGATTTAATTTTTTATAATCAACCACCATTCGCCAAGTACCATCATGTTTAGGTACAAGTAAAGCAGGTGCAGCATATGGAGAATAAGAAGGACGAATTAAACCAAAATATAATAATTCTTGTACTATCTTGTACATTTCTTCTTGTTTATTTGGTGTTGTATAATACGGTTTTGATGTTGGTGGGGGATGGTCAAGTGTTTTTATTGAATGTGGTTTTACATTAATTGCAATTGTAGATTTACTAGTATCAAATAATTTTGAATGTTGATAAAGGATAGATTTAATTTTTTCATGTCGATCAGGACTAGTAATATGTTGAATTAAATTGGTGATGTTTGTGTTTACTAATTCATAATCAATAGTTGAATTTTTCTTGAAAGATAATGTAGGAATAGTAGTTGTTTCCAGTATTAAACCTTTCGGTAATGAACATGAATAATTTGTTGGATTATAAAGTGAAACATTCGAGGTATAATCATGAACTTTTA